CGAGGCGACGAGGCGACGAGGCGACGAGGCCGCGAGGACGATGAGGGCCGCAAGGCCGAACCATCGCCTCGCCCTGTCGGGCGGCGCGAGAATCCCGGTTTAATTGGCCTTATTTGGCTTTAGGTTGGTGGGCGGCTTGACCACGAAGCACGCCATGCCGAGTTCGGTGGTGATGGTGGTGATGACGTTGTGGCAAAAGTGGAGATACAGCACGGCGGAGAAGGCGAGGCTGGCCCAGATCACGGCGAGCTGGTTGGCCGGGTTCGTCTGCACAAAGGGCATGGTCAAATTGGCATCGATCGCGCCCAGCACCGACCACACGATGGCGATGTTCCAGTACGGGAATGGAGCCTTTGTGACGTGTGCGACAATCAGCAGACCGACATTGTAGGCGAAGCTGATGCCCCAGAAAGCGAGGAAAGGCAGCAGCGCCCGCGGGTCGACAAGGATGTATGCGCTGTTGGCCCTGATCCACGCAATGTTGGCGCCGATCTGCAGCAGCAGCGGCGCGAGCCCGAGCAACGGCGTGAGCGTCGACTGCTTGCGCGCCTTGCGCGCCTGCACCACATTGCCGTACGAGCCCGCAATGTTGCCCAGCAGTCCGAACAGCGCAAACACCAAAAAAGTGTCGTTGAGCGGCAGGTTGAAGCGCGCCAGCTTGTCGGCCACCACGTCGATCTTGGCGAGGCCCGTGACGTTGAGAATACCGCGGTCCCAGAAGATGGGTCCGCCCACCGCACCGGTCAGCGCATAGATGGCCACGATCATCAAGATGCCCTCGACGGGACCGCTGAAGGCAGAAAGGAAGAGCGTGCCCGTGTGGAACTCCTCCCAGGTGGTGAGATAAAAGTTGGCAAGCGTAGCAACGAGCGATGCAGGAGCCCAGACCGACCTGCCAAGGTTGAGGGCAGCACAGCAAAGCACGCATTCGAGTGTCGTGTTGATCGCATCACAGCCGTGGTCGAAGAGTTCGCCGAGCGGACCGGCCATGCCGGTCCTGCGCGCCTGCTTGCCGTCGATCGAGTCGAGGCTCTGGTAGGCAAACAGACACAAAGCCCAGGTGTAGAAGACCCAGGGCGGCAGACACCTGCCTGCTACGTGCGCCGTCGGGGCAAAGTCGACCTTGGCCGCGGCGGCAGGGATGCCAAAGTTGGCGAAGAGCGGTGCGATGGGCAGCAGCTTGGCGTCGGACGGGAAGGCGGCGTGCAGCGCGCGCGTGTGGGCGGCACCATCGAGCTTGAGCTGCGTGGCGCACTCGAGACCCGGGTCGACGTAGGCGAGCGTGGCAAAGTTGACAAACACGAGCAAAAGACCCGAAAGCGTGATGGTGTTGGGCGCGACGCTCTTGGGAAAGAGCTCCACAAGCCAGTTCCAATACGGCCCGAGGATGTACTTGGAGACGAGCGACTTGTCGGTCCCGCTGTACTTGTACAGGTGCAGATTGTTGACGCGCGAGCGCGGGATGTAATCCAGCATCGTCGCGGAGGGGGTCTAGCGTCTACGAAGCGTCTAGAGTCTATGGGGGAGATGGTGGAACCGAGCCAAGCGGTGGGCACGGCCAGTCACCGGTGATGTCGTACAAAGTGCAGCGGGTGGGCCTTCGTTGCAAAGCCGCAGAGGCGCGCGCCGTGAAAGTGCGGATAGCCAGCAGGAAGAAGGAAAAAAGTTGGGGCTGCAGACGCATCGTGCAGCGACGACCGAAGAACTAACCTTTTTTTGCCTCCACACCTCCGAAGCACCGTCAACGTGCCTGTTTCAACGCATGTGCCTTTTCGCGACGTCACCTTTCCAGTTGGGCAACTTGCAGAGCCGAGCCGACGCGTTTCTTTTGGAATGCGTCTAAATCGGAGGCCGATCTTGCAGTCGAGCCCCGATGGAACCGCCTCCACACCAAGTCGAAGTCGGGCAACTTTCTTCCTGCTGAGCTCGACAGCGGCTCACTGCGGAACAAGCTTACCGGACCTCGAGCTTCGAGTCATCATTGCTCGACCATATCCATCATCTCCGCCGTCATCTGGTAATAGTACAAGCATTGCGGCAGCATGCGCTCCTCCCAGGTGGTGCGTTCGGCAGCGGCGAGCACGTCCTTCGCTTCCTTGCCGCCCCGGGCGCGCGTGGCTATCATCGGTGCGGGGCCGTCGGGCTTCTACGCTGCTTCGCGGCTGCTCTCGCGCATTCCCTACTCTTCCGCGCACTCCGCCGCCGACCAGCCGCTGGCGATCGACATCTTTGAGCGTCTTCCCGTGCCGCACGGTCTCGTGCGCTACGGCGTCGCCCCCGACCATCCAGACGTGAAGAACGTCGAGAACAAGTTCGCCTCGGTCGCCCAGGACCCACGCCTGCGCTTTGCGGGCAATGTCAACGTGGTGCACACCCCGCCATCCGGCTCCGGCCCAGGCGTACTGCAGTACCCCGAAGCGGTGCAGCTTCCGCTCGACTTGCTTTCGCGGTACTACACGCATATCCTCTTCTCGTATGGTGCATCTGCCGGCCGAAGACTTGGCATCCCAGGCTCTGGACCGGGAGAGCTTGATGGGGTCTACACGGCGCTCGATTTCGTCAACTGGTATAATGGACATCCGGGATCACATGATGCGACGCTTCAAGCCGCGCCGCTGCATGTCCACCTGGCGGGCAAGCAGCACATGAGCGTCGTGGGTGCGGGCAACGTTGCGCTCGATGTTGCGCGCATGGTGCTGCGCTCCTCGACGCCCTTCCTCGAGCCAGGAACCGCATCGGAGCGCGTGACGTCGAACAAGGCACCAGGCCTGGCAGCGCTGGAGGCGACCGATGTGCCCGAGCCCGTGCTCGCCGAGCTTGCGCGGTCCAAGGTCCGACATGTGGACATCTTTGCGCGGCGCGGACCGGCGCAGTTGGCGTTTACGAATAAGGAGGTGCGAGAGATGCTCGCGCTCGAAGGGATAGCGCTGCGTGCGCCTCAGAAGCAGCTGCTGGACGAAGCAGGCGCGCAGCTCGAGCAGCTTGCGGCGACCGAGGGTGGTGGAGAGCGAGCGCAGGAGGTGGCGTCGGAGGTGCGCGTCAAGAAGCGTCTGCTCAGTCTTCTTGCCAAAGGCAGCAAGACCAAGCATGCAGAGGACGGAGTCAAGTCGTGGGCGCTCAACTTCTTCCGATCGCCCGCCAGGATCCTGCCGCGCCAGGACGATGCGCACGCCGTCGGTGCGGTCGAGTGGAACGTGACGGCGCTGCAGACGGCCAAGCCGACAGTAGCGAACCTCGATGCGGCAGATCCAAAGAAGGCGGCATACGCGGGTGAGCCTGCTTCCACCTCGGCGCGCGCAACCGGAGAGACCGTCACCACCCCCACCGATCTTGTCGTCGCATCCGTCGGCTACCAAAGTCTGCCTCTCGACCCTTCGCCTGCTCCAGCCGTACCCGCTGTTGAGGAAGGTCGACTCGTACGTCTGCCCTTTGACGCACGGCGACACGTAGTCCCCAACCGCGCCGGACGCATTGTGGATCCAGTCAGTGGCGACGTTGTACCGCGTGCATATGTCAGCGGGTGGCTCGCCCGCGGCCCTACCGGCATCATTGCTTCGACCATGCTCGATGCGCACGCCGTCGCCGACTCGATGCTCAGCGACATGCACACTCAGCCGCCCACCCACCACGCCGAGTCGCATGACGACCTGCTGCAGCTCTTGCAAAAGACTCAGACGCACCGCATCGTCGGTATCGACGACTGGAATCGCATCGACGCCGAAGAATGGGCTCGCGGCCAAAAGTTGGGCAAGCTGCGCGAAAAGATCCTCACCGTGCGTGAAATGCTCGCGCTCCTCCAATAGACCTGCTATCGACCATCCTACACCGCTCCAACGCTCTGTGTAACAACATGCATATTCCGAAAAGCAAAAGACTCCCTCCTTGAGGCCTCAAGGAGCGAGGGTATAGTACAGATTTTTGCGCAGCTGGCTGGCTGGCTGGGCGGCACTTAGTGACCGAGCTCCTTGGCAGCGGCGTGGAAGGCCTCCTTGAAGATGCTGCACGCCTGTGCCAGCTCCTCCTCCGAGATGTTGAGCGCAGGGATGAACCTGAGCACGTCAAACACACTGGTGCTGAGCAGCAGCATGTTCCTCTCGAGGCACTGCGCCACGATCTTGGGTGCGATCTGGGGTGCGGCACCCTTGGCGGCGGTGGTGTTCTGCGAGGCGGGGTTGGTGGTGTTGGTAGCGAACTGGACGCCAATCATGAGACCGCGCCCACGCACGTCCTCGATGAGGTGGCCGTACTTGGGGTCCTGCTGCAGCTCCTTGAGGAAGCCGACGAGCTGCTGCGAACGCGCCGCAACGTTGTCGAGAATCTGCTCGTCCTTGAACGCCTTGATGACGGCGGTGGCCGCTGCGCACGCTACGGCGTTGCCCGCATACGTGCCGCCCATCGAGCCGGGCTTCTGGCGCGACATGAGCTCGTTGGTGCTCGCAATGCCGGACAGTGGGAAGCCGTTAGCGATGCCCTTGGCAAAGATGAGCACGTCGGGACGCACACCGGACTCCTCGACGGCGAACATGGTGCCCGTGCGGCCGAAACCGCTCTGCACCTCGTCGGCGATGAGCAGGAGGCCATGCTCGTCGCAGATCTCGCGCAGGCCGTGCAGGAAGCTCGCGGGCGCAGGCACGTAGCCGCCCTCGCCGATCACGGGCTCGATGAGGATGGCGGCGGTGTCGCTGGGGGCCGTCTGCTGCTGCAGCGTCAGACGCACCTGATGCAGCGACTGGCGCACGAGCTCCTCAATGTCCGTCGACGCCGGCAGGCCAAAGTGCGCGTAGAAGGGGAACGAGGTGGCAAACACGCCGGGCATGAGCGGACCGTGTCCCTCGCCGTAGATCGTCTTGGAGCGGGTGAGCGCCGCGGTGGCAGCCGTGCGGCCGTGGTAGGAGCCCTGCATGACAATGATGTTCTGCTTCTTGGTGGCCGCACGCGCGAGCTTGATGGCCGCCTCGACCGCCTCGGCGCCCGAGTTCCAGAAGAAGAGCGTGTCGAGCGAAGGGTGTGGCAGGATGGGGAGCAGGTGCTGGATGAGCTCGATCTGCGCCGCCGAGAATCCAATGTTGACCTGTTCACATGACGAAGCAAAGCACCTGTCAGCAGCAAATCGAGAGGAAAGGTGGATGTCGTGAACGGAAACTTACCTGAGCATGGGTGATCTTGCCGCACTGCTTTGCGGCAGCCTCGGTGACCTTGGGGTGGCAGTGGCCGAGGTTGCAGACGCCGATGCCGGCGGTCATGTCTAGCAGCTTGACGCCCTTGTCCGTGGTGATCCACGAGCCCTTGCCGTCCTCGAAGACATGCTTCGAGAGGCGGCCGATGCCCTTGGTGATGTGCGTCTCGCCGAAAGCGGCGGCGTCAAAGCTAGCAGCAGGCATGGTAGGTCGGAAAGCGGTCTGTCGAGAAGGAGCCGTGGTGAAGGAGCGATGAGAGGTTGGTTGGAGGGGGACGGTGGCAGCTGCTGGGGCAGGAACACGACCCAACGAGCGCTTTATAGGCTGGGAGGCGGCAAGAACAGCACGCATCTTGATGGCACTTGGGTTTCTTGGTGACTCGCGGGGAGCTGTGGGATGGTGAGAAACAAGAGACAATGTGCTGTTTTGAGAGATGCCTTATCAGTTTGTGCCGACTGCGAGCCAAGGCGATGCGACCAAAACCAACCGCCAGCGTCGGATGAGCCGTGCATCCAGAGCCAGAGCGAGGGGGAAAGGAGCAGCGCTATCCGGCCGCCGGGGTAGAGTCCGGCGAGGTTTCTGGCTGCAACCCTAGCTGCCGCTCGCTGTGCGGGTTGGAGACGCGCTCTGGGCTCCCTGGGCTCAAGGACGTCTAGAGGAATCTCCAAGCCCACGCGAGACGCGCCCAGAGCCCAGCCGGCAAATTCTGCTCGATTTTTGCCTCGGCCCACGGGTTGCAGGGATGAACCCGCCGCCGTGGCTCGCCCAGCCAGGGTCTTGCTGGTCACCGTTGCATCCTCCACCGTGCAGTCGTGCAGCCTTCTAGACGAGCCGCGCTCCTTTTGTTTTGGGCCAATTTAGCCGCGGGTGCCGCGCTTGCCGCTCCTTTCGACGCTGTCCCGCTTCTCCGAGTCCTTCGACCGCATCCGCCTCACCCACCCCGCAAACACAGCGCAACCCCATCAGCCAGAAGTCTCGGCACAAGACGCAGCACCATGAATACGAAAGTGGTTCCGATGAGACGCAGAGTATGAACGCGAGGCTGAAGAACAAGGGGAATACACTAGAATACAGTATACGAACGTGTGTGGATCCATCCAGCTGCTCGCTATGGATATGCTAAGTTGTGTGGATGCGGATGTGGATGAGATGTACAGGCAGGCTAGCAAATACCTGACGCTTGTCAAAGTGTGTGGGTGTGGGTGTGGGTGTGGGTGTGGGTGTGGG